GGAGAGATGTGACTTGGAGGGAGCGCCTGAGCCCCAGCAGTACAGAGCAGAGCAGGCACCACATCACTGCCTGGGTAACACTGAAATGTCTGTTCTGAGMACCCCTCTGCCACCATCCCTGGCCCAAGGTAACTCCTCTAGACCATAAAATTCATTTTGATGGCCAAATTAAAAGTGGGTTTGTTTTGGTTTTTGTTGTTTGTGTTTTTGTTTTTCAGTAGGTTTTGTAACGCATCAACCAACTCATTTTTGAGCAGCGAGGCTCTCCAARATTGATATGAAGATCTGGCTGCCCCATCCTTGGGAATGCCAAATTGGATAGGGCTTGGAGCAACCTGATTTAGCAGAAGGCATTCCTGCCCCATGGCAGGGGCTGGAACTGGATGAGCTTTAAGGTCTCTTCCATCCCAATCCATTCCATGATYCTAGGATAATATGCCACAGGTTTTTGGGAGCATCACCAATGTGAGCAGAGAAAMCAAGAATTTTATCCATGTAGGTTAGAGGTGAGGCTTTAAGAAGAAAGAGCCCTTGAGCTTTGCAGATTTCTCTTGKAACAGCCTTTCCCGAGGGCTGGAGGCACTGGTGCCATCCTGGCCACCCACTTCTCATTCAGAGAGGAGAGAAGGAGGAGCCAGGGGACAAGGATATTCCTCAATGCCCCCAAAGCTYATGGCTTCCCACAAAGCCACCCCATTTGAGGGTGAGGTCAGCAGTATGGTGAAGACAACAATGTGATGTCCCCAGGTCCACCCTTCCAAGTGGAAAGGGACTGGGACAGCCAGTTCCTCAGTGCTCCCACAACTGCATCTGTACCCTGAGCATTTACACAGGCTCCAGCCAGCCAACCACCACCAAATATTTAGGAATCAAACTCCATAAAGGAAGCACAAGACATAGTACAGAATAAATTGAGTACATTAGAAAAAGCCCAGAGGGGAAAAATAGATTTTTGGAACGTGTTCTCAATCTCATTAATTGGGAAGTCAGCCTTGGAGGGGGAAAAAAATTATTATATCCTCCCCAAACCATTATCCGCTCTTCAGAGTGTATCATATGAAAACAGTTATATGAAAGAATAAATTATATTTGGAATGGCAAGAACCCCAGAATAAAGCTAGGAACTCTGATGTTCCCATATAAAGATAGGAGACAGTTATCTGTTCCAAATTTTCCAGTTTTCTGCTGCGCCAATTCAAATTCACTTCATACCAGCATGGCCATATAAAGGGGACTCCACCCATGTGAGCTTGGAACAAGCAGTAATCCCCCAAACTATCAATTTAATGTATAGGGATAGAAAATGAGGGAAGAATGTACTCCCAGAAGGAGCACTCCATTAACGACATGGCACAGGGCTCCAGAACGTGCACACAGGAATATCATTTACAGGGACTTTAGCATTGTGAGACTGGAGMTGAAACTGAGATTTCTGCATGCAGACATTGTCGATGTTGCAAATTAAATGTCCATTTCCAGATTCAATGTAAACTTTATTTTTGTTTTATTTTCTACTATTTGCTCGGCGTCATGTTTCTTGGCCAGAAGTAGGAAATCATCTCTTCCTTGGGGATTTTTAAATTCATTTTCAGCCCATCTTGCCCAGGCTCTCCTGAGCAGCAGAGGAGGATGGCTCAGGGCAGGGCTGGCGCCAGGCWGGGTCTGTTCAGCCTGACCCCTGTGGAAATGTTCCAGTCYCAGCCTGGGATGTGGGTGCTGRCCACAGCATCCATTCATGCAGGAASRGGTATCCTCGAGTTCCCCCTTACCCTGCACTGGATCCAAGGTGGATAAAAATCCTCCTTCATCTCAGGCACTGGGAATGCTGTTAGCACAAGCCCAAGGCACTGGTATACACTCAGGCATAGCAGCAAGGGGCAGGTGACACAAACACAGGARGCAAAATGTGACCCCAGTCTGGCCCATCCCCCAGCCCCCAGGAATGTGTTGTCATGTTTGGAACCACACAATGAGCTGGTTTCTTGCCTGAAYTACATGAACAATGCACAAAGTGCAGGTGGTGTCTTTCCAGGTTTCCTTYCCTGTTTGGAGTCCCTACACAGAAGACTCAGGGAATGCCCCAGGAGCTCCATGCTCCTCCCACCAGTACTAGGACCCACTGCTAACAGCACGAGGTGAGAACATGGGAAGGACAGTAAGGAGAAGGAAATCTGGGCCAGGAGATGAAAATGAGGACTACAGCCCATCTTTTCTCAGTTTTTAAACCAGTCAAGGCACAGAGCCCCACTGTCGCCAGGCTGAAGCTTCCAGGTCCCCCTCCCTGGAAGTGTTCAAGGCCAGGCTGGACAGGGCGTGGAGAAATCTGGGACAGTGGAAGGTGTCCCTGCCCATGGCAGGGGGTGGAATGAGATGAGCTTTCAGGYTCCTTCCAACCCAAACCATCCCATGATTGTGCGAAGACACAGCCTAGAGAAGAAATTATTTTCTCCAGCTCAACCAATCTAATAAAAATCATTACAAAATAAAACCTAAAATAAAACCTAAAAAAGAAGACCCTTCCAGAAAGCACCTCTGCTCACGACATGAGACCCTAATAAGGACCAGCAGCGCCACATCTGAGCTCCCCCCGCACCATCAACACCAYGCAGCTCCGGCGCCAGAGCCAGCAGCACCCTGGAAAGGAGCGGCAGCCAAGAGCCAGCCCTGTCCAAGCCATCGGGATGGATACACAGATAAACCAGGTCAAAGAAGTGTTTCCATCCCAGCCAGACAGTGACTAAGAGACGGCATTAATTTGTTACTCAGGCCAAGTTTAACTTTTCAGACCAAGAAGAGCCAAACAGTTGTTCCAAGTGAAAAAATACTGCAGGATGCATTCCTTTGCCCTGTCCCAGGAATATCCAGGGATTCATGATTTCGACATGGAGCTGACAGCTCTTTCATATATCACTAAGATTAACAAACCAACTTTTCTGGTTTTCTTTTCATTCCCCAAATTCTATTTACTGGTCACAAGAAGCTGCAAGTCATGTTCACACCGTGCTCTGGGGAGGTGGGGCTGGATGAGCTCCACATGCTCTTAGTGCAGCAYATCAAACTACCACAGACAACAAACAGTTGTTTTATTGGCACTCCTGCTGTCAGCACTGAGAATGGAGTGCATGTCAGGGAGCATCCACCTTCCACCCCTCTCTGGATCCAACAGGAAGGCTCCTGGGAGCTTTACCAGGGATGTGAGACTGAGAACACAAATGACAAACCCTTTGGAGCTTGAAAGCCCTTCCAAATTGATTTGGAATTTGATGACCTGCTCCARCAGCTGTGCCTCTCGCACTGCCTGGCTGGAACAGTGCCCGTATCACAGCAGGTACAGGGCAGCACCTCTGTGCCATGGTGCAGGGAAGGACACGCATGCCCAGGTGAAAGGACAGCAGCCCAATGCCTCACTACAGGGCCAGTGGCACCAACATCACACAGAGGGCTGGGTATCACCAGGACCTGTCACACAACAGCCTTTTGTTTATTTTAGCCTTTTGAGGGCTGCCAAAAATKATGTTTTCAATGACTGGACTCAGAGACTCATCCGACATCATGCCAAAATGGGGGCAGTTGTGCCCAGAGAGGCATCCCCAGCCCCACTGGTGCCCTCCCATCCCTGGGCTGCGGTTGCAAGGCCCGAGGCACTGCAGGGTCCCTGGGATGCCCCACACCACTACAAAGCCTTTGTTTCTGCAGGCAGAGAAGATTTGACCCGGTCAGCTTGGCCAAGGGCTGCACACAGAGCTCTGAACAAACACTGCCACAGGACTCSTGTCTGACTCTATCTGCAGATGGAGCAGAAGAGATGTCCATGCCATGATACAGCCTTGGTAAATCCTGGCAGAGAGCTCAGATGTCATACCCGCATCTTGTTTTATAAAACCATGTGCTGTTCACAGCAGGTCAGATCAGAGCTGGGCAGAGCTTTCAGCCYCATCATCCCTCTCCTGAAAAGCTTCCAAACCAGCTCTGCTGAGGGGCCATGGTCCAGAGCTCCAAATCCACCTCCTTGCGGCCAGCTGGCATGAGAGCTGGTACCATACTCTGCTGCCTGGAATCTTTGGGACCAAAACAGTCCCTTCTCCTCCACCACTCAGGTCCTATGAACCAGTTYTAATCCATAACCAAGAAAGCCTAAGGAATGCCTATGGGACAGTGGTGCCACAGAAGTGCCCAGAGAGGCCCCAGGAATTACCTCAGGGGCAGCATGCAGTCACTTGAGGGTCAGCACGGTGACAGTCCTCACACCCCCCAGACACAGGCACCAGGGAGACAGGACCCACCTGGTCTCCAGKAAAAGCCCAGGCAGCTCCAGGTGAGCAGGGCTGTGGCAAGGAAGGCATCCCAGCATCCCCAGGCACGGCTCCCCAYGCACAGAGCGCTCTTCCATTGAGGCACAGCATTCTCCCGCGGCAGCTGAGCGCACTCGGGAGGGCTGAGCCGCTCGGGAGGCAGGTGACACATCGTGCGTGCCAAAGGCACATCTCCGAGCAGCCAGGGCTAGGCAGGGCTCCCGCTTCTCCCTGTGCCGCCCACAGCCCTGCCTTGTGCCTTGTGGCACCTACTCCCGGTCCCACCCTGCAGCTCCTGCCGTGTCCTCACGTTCACCCCATCCCGCCGGCTCCTGCCCGGCTCCGGGTCAGTGGGCATGGGAGCTCTCCAAGGGGAGGCTGAGGACTGGGCCAAACCCACAGCCCGCTGGGCCATGGCTCAGAGCCACCACAGCTCAGGGCCGGCTGCCATAATGCCCCTGGAGAGGCACTCGGCAGGCACAGCCCCTCCTCAGGCACATCCTCCACACACAGGGATCTGGGCAGGGGCCACCTCTGCATCCACAGGGCAGCAGTCCTCCAGGATGCTTGCTGAGCCATCTGGCCTTCACCACAGCCAGAGGTGAGTGTCTTCACGAACCTCGTGAAAAAACCAACTGCCTTGAATTAACTGCAGCTTTCCCCACCAAAYCTCTTTGGTACCCCCCAATCTGATGTGAAATCACTCACCATCTCTGCAGTCCTTGGAGCTGCACAGAGGTCCCTGCTTCTTTCCTATCTTTCCCTTCTTTTTCCTTCTCCTCTCCTGCTCATCTTCTTCCTCTTTCTCCTAGGTGGCTGGGCTCTCCCTGCTGGGAAGGCAGCAGCCTATTCCAAGATTCCTATCCGGCCGCCCACAGCCTCTCCCAACAATTAGAGGCCTCTGTGGCTGTCCCAGGTAAGCAGCAATGACAGACCTCAAGGCAACATCCATGGAAATATCTGTTCAGAGGCAGGGTTACCTGTCCCTGCCACCYCCTGCCTGGAAAGGAGCATCCTGCACACCCTGGGAGGAGGGAAACAAAATGACACCAACCTGGCCCTAGAAAACAAGGGCATGAATATTACCAAGGGACCCTGTGTCATTCCAGTGGCCCCATCCCCAGTCCCATGGCTCCTTCCCAGCACAGACAAGTCTGTGGAGCTRCTTACACAAGCCTAGTATTTGCAAACAAAGTGATCCTTTAGTGCCACATCCACATCCAAAGGTTACTGGTGAAAACCCACAGGACAGGACAGGACAGTCTGAGGCACCCTCAAGATGTGGGTGCCATGGCAGGGGCAGGGCAGGGCAGGGCAGGGCTCAGGGTGCAGCCATTACCGCAGAGACACAGCCAGGGCAGTGGGGACAGTGGGGCACAGCTGGGATGGGCTGTGGCTTCCCCTCTGAGCCCTTGGGTGTGATCACAAGCAAAGCCCAGGACCGCCATCCAGCCAGCAAGGCTGAGAATTCCCAGTCCCAGGAGACATAAAGTCCAGGCTGCTGACAGAAAGTGCTGGTGTAAGGTACAGCAAACTCACAGCTCCACAAACCCCTCCATAGACCACAAGCAGTAAATGCTATTKTTCCCCCTGCCCTGTCCCAGGGGAGCCAGAAAAGCCATCACTCCCMTTGCCTTAACCCCAATGACTCCCTGCCCTGCCCAGCAGCACCGGCCCTGCCAGATGAATGCTCAGTGCAGATTCACCCCAGCTCTCCCGTGCTTTGAGAACAGCAGCCTCTGACCTCAGGAGGGGTTTGTGCCCTCAACAGGGTCCCATTCCCACTCCCACAGTCTGTCCCATRAAAGTCTCCTGCCTCCCCTGAAGCAGGACAACCAGAATGCCCAGTCCTGTCCATCCACTGCCCAGAAGCAGCAGCACTGCAAGGACTTCCCTGGTCCCTTGTTCCTGGTCTACCCATGCATTTTAGGGACATGTGGCAGATGGGCACACCAAGGAGGATGCAGAAGCCTCTGGTCCAGCACAAGCTTTTGTCAAGTGAACAGCACCCAAATCTCCCTGAGCACAGGTGAAGGGGGTGACTTAGAAATAAATATGAGCATAGATCTACGGGAAGGAAGAGGAGGGAAAAGGCTGAGGAAGATCTGGCTGAACTGGGATGAAGAAGCTCTTGCATTCAGACCCCATTTCAGTCCAGAGAGAGCCAAAACCTCAACAAGAGTTTGTGCTAAAGCCTCTGATCTTCACTGGGGTTTCCTCCCTGGGCACTGCATATTCACACAGCCAGAGACAGCCACTGCCCAAATTCAACTTTAATCCAAATAACATTAAAAGGATCCTCCAGGGATTAAGTGACCTGACAAGCCACAGACACACCCAGGGACAGAAAACTAATGGTGTCACAACAGGGCTGTGATCACATGGCACTCCTGGCACTCACGCCGTGTGCCTCAGTTTACCCAGTCATTAGGGCAGGTGCTACACTGCCTGGCTCCTGCAGGGCAGGGGGAGGTCAAGTCCATACAACAGAATCATGGGATCATGGGATCATGGAATGGTTTGGATTGGAAGGGACCTCAAAGCCCAGCCCATCTCACCCCCTACCATGGGCAGGGACACCTTCCMCTRTCCCAGGCTGCTCCAAGCCCYRTCCAAYCTGRYCTTGGACACTGCCAGGGATCCAGGGGCAGCCACAGYTTCTCTGGGCACCCTGTGCCAGGGCCTCCCCACCTCCCAGGGAACAATTCCTTCCCAGTATCCCATCTAACCCTACTCCCTCCGTTCAAAGCCATTCCCCCATGTCCTATCAGTACATGCCCTTGCAAAGATATATATATCTATATATTTATATATGTATACACATACACACACTCCCACCCMCACATGTTATACATGTATTTGTATTTCATTTTATGTTCAATAGTGCCATTCCCAGCATTGCTCCCATGGGAAGCACAGCCCYGTGCTGCTTTGGCTGGGGGCTGGGATGAACAAGCAGGAGGAGGGAGGAAAGCCATGGCCCTGGGGAGTCTGCCTGCAATCAGGCAGCATTTCATCAGTGGTGAGGGAAGAAATTAAAGAAATAAATCGTATTTTGTTCATGCTTAATGAACACTCATTAGAGAGTCATGATGAAACCATGCATATGCTTTTCCAGGCAGGAGACAGMGGAACTGGGAATCACAGACTGGTCCCAGGGTGGCACAGGGATGTGGGTACTCACAGCAGGAACAGGATGGATGCTGCCAGGGAAGGAGTTGCCAGAGCACAGGGAGCTCCAGCTGGGGATGTGGCATAAAGTGATGGATTTGCTGTGCCTGAAAAGCTGGGCTGAGCTAGGATGATGGGTGAGGAGTTGGGGGAGGACAGGGGAGGTGCAGCCTGAGCCCCATGAGAGGGGCAGCAGGAAAGCCCCTTCCCAGAACAGACCCTGCTCAACGCCACCGTGGCACTGCTGGGGCTGGGGATCCCTGTGCCCCTTGGGAACAGGCTGGCCAGGAGCATCCCCACACCTCAGGATTCCCTGCCAYGGCACAGTGGGCATGGCTGCCTGCTACAAAAAAATGAATTGGGAAAGCCAGTTTTGGGGCAAAAGGGCCTTTTTTGGAGAGGAGGTGAGAAAAYTATTAAAAAAAAAAAAAGCAAAGGGAAAGGCAAAATTGCTGTGTAAGAGATGAAGGAARGGGGGGAARAATGTTGAAAATATATCTCTGGGGAATTGTGGAGAAGAAGAAAGAGCAGAGACACGCCAGGCGAGCTGGAGCGAGACCAGGGAGCAGGAAGCGCCTAACTAGGATGGAGACAGAGATACTACAGAGCCCCGGTGACGTCATGCCCGAGTCGCAGCGGTTTCCAAAACAACTCCAAACTCCAGCGCCTGGAGAGGGAATGAGGAGTGCAGGAGAAGTGGAAACGAGATGGGGCTCGGYGCTCAGAGGGAGCTGAAACAGGAGCTGGAGGCGTCTGTGGAGCCGAGCCTGCTCCCAGCTCCCCATCCGTTTTGCTCTGGCGGGATGGGCTCTGGGGAGCGGCAGCCACGGAGACAGAGGTTATTGTAGAGCCAGGCAGCATCAGAAAGGAAATTCCTGAGGGTGTTTTCCTAATTGATACGTACAATGAAGTTACAGTCCCCCAAAGCCCCTTGCTGCAGGAAGGTAAATGCTGGATGCTCCCAGAAGCAGAGCCAAGGAGTGAGCAACAGCAGAGTCGGTGACCCAGAGGAAATAAATCTGCACTAAATGGGAATCTTAGACAGAGAGTTGTCCCAATGGCAGTGGGTGGCTCTGCCCCAGCCTGTTCAGATTAGAGGGTTTTATGGCTGTGCTGGCCCTGGGGAGCCCAGCCAAGGCGGCTGGGTCAGCTCAGGGCTCTGTGAGGAGGGTGGAGAACAAAGTGAGAAGGGGGACTGAGCCCCCAGGGCCAGGTTGTGGTGCCCTTTGCCATGGGCTTGCAATGTGGGGCTGCTCCTGTGCCCCCAGCCCACCCCACAGCTGCTGGGTGGGTATGGCAGCCCCAGCACGGACCCTATAGGTGAGAAAGGGTGGCACAACAGTCATGGTGATTCTGAACAAGGACTCTGCTGTGTGGACAACCTGTGACCAAGCAGGTGACCCATAGAAGGAATCAAATCATCCTTGTTTCAGGCAGGAAGAGTCTGGCACAGACCTCTGCATCCACACAGGGTCTGCATGGGACTCCAACATCAGGGACATACAGCACAACTTCTAGGAAGTCCTTCTGGAAGAGATTTCTCTGCCAAGACAGCCAGATGGAAGAATCCCATCTTGATGCCTTCACTTGCATCTCCCCTTGCTGTGCTGCCAGAGCTCAGGGAAATGCCAGACTCCCAGGACTGGCATCAGCAGTGGTCAGTGGTTGAAATGCCCATGGACCTCTTCAGTGAGGCTGACCTGAACCCACTTGCACCACCTTGGTCCAGCCAAGCCTGGTCAGCCTCAACCCTCCTGCTAGAGCCATCTGTCCCTGCAGCACCCATAACATCCCCATCCTTCTGGCAGCAGGATGCCCAGAGYAGAGGACAGTGCAGGTGGTGTGGGGCTGTTTCCAACATGCATACTTCAAGTTCAGGGCTGACCAACACTTCACAAACTGCCTTTCCACCACTCCTCATGCCCACAAGTTTGGAGAGGTTCTGACTGTTCCTGTCTCCCAATCTCAGGGGTGTTTCTGCTGCAGGCTGAAGGAATTCCTGCAGGTTCTCCACTGCCTGCCTGGACAGAGCTAAGCCCAAAGCAGCACCTGGGTGCTCCCACCCCTTTGCTTTCAGAGTTTCATCTCCTGCCAAGCTGGAGCCTGCCTGTTCTCAYGGGCCTGTGCTGCTGGTAATTGGCACAGCTGTAACTGGGCTGTGCTGAGGCTGGGCTGCCCTGGAGGCTGGACCCTGCCGGGACACCAGGACCCCACTCTAACACTGTGATGAACCTGCTTGGTTGTGGTACTGTCCTACAGCACCCATGGCTCCTGCCAAGGGATGCAGCGTGCCAAACACACTGGCCAAGGGGTTGGGCGCCAGAACACACCTGCAGGCTGGGGTGGAGGGGTCCAGAGTGGCAAAAGGACCAAGAGGATTGAGAAGGGCACAATCACCTCTCTGCCTCCAAACTTCTGGTAAGCAGCAGGAGGGCACAGGCTGCACAGAGCAGGTTTGGCCATGAGCCCAGCTTGCAAACCACCCAGGGAGATCCTTGGGAAGGCAGCAAGATGCCCGAGCTGGGGACACAGGTGATGGTCAGGACAGAACTGTCGAGAGATGCCCTCGGCACTGGCACAGCCACGTCCCCTCTGCACACACTGGATGGCTCAGAGCTGGCAGCACCGGGAGCAGGCTGGCCACGGCAGCAGCCCCTGCCTGTCACCCTCCCCTGGGCCCCTTTCCGGCTCCCYGGTTAAATCCCACCACGGCTGCTTTCCTGCCCGGGGGCGAGGAGAGCCTGACTCACGCACTAGCAGAGAT